CTACTCCCGTAAGGATTTACACCCTCGGAAACCCTGTACAGGGTCGCTATGGGTCGGAACCGACTCGACGGCACTTAACAACAACAACAACTGCTCCAAATGCATCTGTTGTTTCTCAGATACGAAGCTCATGTTGTTTTCAGCCATTTGTTCACACCCCTTTCCTTAGTCTGAACGATCCTTCTTCCTAGCACACCAACTTGTTTACGAAACTTAGCTCAAAGTCAATGTCCTTTATGAAGACTTCCTTGAATTTAATTCACTCCACATCTTGCTCCAGGTAAAACTAGCCACTGTCTCCTCTATGTCTGCCTCAAAAACCAGTAAAGTCTTTAGTCACAATGCTTAAAACAATTTATTACACACTTTAAAAACATGCAACAGAAAGCAAAAGGAAAAATAAGATTTTGTAATTCAACAAAGTTCAAATCCTCACTCCACCATTTATTAGCTGATTAACTTGAACAAGTTAAGCTTTCTGATTTTTTTTTTCTCATCTTAAAATCGGAATAATTATGGTGATGATTAGCTGTAATATGTGTGAAGTCTCAACACAGTACCTGGCAGATTGTTGTTGTTAAGTGCTATAAAGTCACTTCTGACTCATAGCAACCTTGTATAGGGTTTCCAAGGAGTGCCTGGTGGGTTTGAACCACTGACCTTGTGGATCAAGGTGACCTTGCAGCTCAAGGTGACCTTGCAGTCCAGTGCATTACCCTGTAGTGTGACACCAGGACACCAAGCATCATTAGTAGGATTCAAACAACAAATTTTGGGGGTAGCTGCTACGTTTTGATCCTCCCAATCCAAGGGTGCTAACAGGTCTTTCGGTGCTCCCCTCTGGCCTTGAGGCTGTGCTGCCTGCAGTCAGACTCTTGCCTCTGTAGTCCCACTAATTGGTGCCTCAGCATCTTCAGCTTCTCTCTGCTTTTCCAGCTGCTCCTTCAGGCATCTAGAGACCAGAAGACTGCCTCTTCTTGGTGGCTATTTCAGGATGCATGGGAAGTTGGTTGCAGCGAGATAGAGTGTGAGGGGCTGAGGCTGGCAGCCGCCTCTCCAGCAGCTCTTCATTAAAAACACGGCAGCTGGAGCCTTGGCTCACTCCGTGCTCCACATGCTCAATCAGGGCCTCCTGGGACGCAAGCACACGGCAGCAGACCATGCAGCGGAAGCCTTGTTCACAGGAGACCAGCCACTAGGGGTTGGTTGTACAGTGCCTCTCCCCATTACCTTCCCCCTGGTCTCTGGGTTCCTGGGTGCAGACCTTGGGTCCCTGTTGCAAGGGCTCCAGGCTACTAACTGGGAACACTCAATGTCCATCAGACTGGGACATTCACCTTCTCATCCCTGGCAAACTGGGGACAGAGGCTACAGTGCTCGACTCCGGAAGCTCAGCCTCAAAGACTTGGGGCATCTTGCCCACTTTTGCAAAGGAGGTTTTGGTCTGATAGACAGGAGGCATTCAGTAAAAGATGCTGACTGGGCTGGGGAATGTCAGGTCTGAGAGCCAATGTGACATGGCGTACCTATAAAATTATTTCATAATTGAGTGTTTGTTTTAGCAAATGGCCCCTGGTATGGTGCTGTTGGACCAGCACTGGACTGTGAACCACAGGTCAGCAGTTAAAACCCATCAAAAGGTAGCTATGAATTGGAATCAACTCAATGGCACTTAACAACAACAAAAATTATCTTATCTTGCCTAACTAAACAAGAAACAAATTAGCACACACTTTAAGTGTGTAGGTTGGCACTCTACACAGACACTTAATAGCCTTCCCTTTTCACTCACACACACTTCCATTTTGGAGCATTTATTTTTTTTTATTTAGTATCTTTATGCCTCATGAAACTTAAATCTTTTTGTATTATAGTATTTAAGAACTGTCAGCTGTAGTAAGTAGTAATAGTCTTGCAAGGACTTTTTTAGTGACACTTACCATCATTTTCCTTTGGCACTGACAGGCACTGTAATCGTTTGGCCTGTATCTTTTATGAGCACCATCTTCGTTGTTAACTAGAAATTCGCCAATGGGGACAGTTCCTGTGCACCACTCAAGAACACCACTTCGCTGAGACAGGGGAACAACCTGAAGTTACAAATTAAATACCTTTTGATTATGAAAAGATATTAAAGGGCATCTGTTGATCATTTAACTATTATAACCAGTGCAAAACATTTTTTACACATCTGTGTTAATATTTCTGTTTACAGGAGATAATGATCCTTTGAGAAACTTTGCTGCCACTGAGTTAATTCCCACTCACAGGGACCCTGGAGAACAGAGGAGAGCTGCTCCACAGGGTTTCTAAGGCAGTAATCTCTACAGAAGCAGACTGCCACTCTTACGAAACAGCTGGTGGATATGAACCACCTACCTTTCAGTAAGCAGCCATGTGCTTAACCATGGTACCACTAAGTATCCAAAGGAATTTGAAAGGCAACCTGAAAACAAACTTAAGCTCAAAGAATCTCATTTTCTAGCCAGCAACTTAAACTTGCGAGAGTCTGCTCATCTCTCGATTTCTATGATACATTAACCACAAGATGAAGTTATTTTCAAAAAATCATCAGATGTCAGAAACCATAAAGTATAAAAGTGATACAAACAAATGTCTTTTACTCACTGTACAGCTTTATCAAGTCAAGATATGAGAAACAATTCCTGGAAAGGAGACAAAGCCCTCCTTCTCACCAAGATTACTAATAATTTGTTTATTATGTTCATTCATTTTTCTATATAGTTGTTTCAATGCTATACATACATAGATAATTGTAAATTTTATTTCTGCAATTTTCTTATTCACTCAACATTGTTTTAATTTTAGCTATGTTAGCCCATTTACCTCTAAGTCACATTTTAACAGCTATATAGTACTCTACTGCACAAATATGAGGGCAAGTCAGAAAGTATTGCTACAAAATGAAGAGACTGCTTTATTAAGCACAAATACCCAGTATCCTCCATGTAGGTCTATATTCTCGACATAGCCTCCATGTATGTCGTTACACTATAATTCTGAAGATTGTCCTTTCCTGAAGAATTCGACACTATTCTATTTACACCACATCAAATTGACAGTTTTGGCATCCTTGACGGACTCAAATGGTGTTCTTTTAAATGTTTTTTTAGTTTGGGGAACAAAAGAAGTCTGAAGAGGCAAGAACAGAGCTGTAGGTGGATGGAGTAAGGTTGCTCAGTAAATTCTCACAGGACAGCTCTTAAAACCCTCAAGGAATGAGCAGGTGCACTATTGTGATGGAAAAAAATTCCTCAGCACAACCTTTCAGGTTCTTTTCTCACCAATGTCATTTTTTTTTTTTTAAGTTTTTATTGTGAATTGAGTGATAGTTTACACGGGAGAACATTAGTTTTACTCACCAATGTAGTTTTAAATTTTCTTAAAAATGTCTTCATCATAATCCCTGTGACTGCCTTGTGTTCTTTGAGAAAAACTGCCAACATTACCCCTTTAGGATCCCAAAAAACAGTCGCTGAGCTGAGCTCTCTGCCTTGAATTTAACTGGCCCAGCAGATCCCCTCAGAAGTCATTGTTTTGATTGGACTTTGCTCTCTGAATTGTATTGGTATAAAGCCAAGACTCATCACTGGCTATGATTTGTCCTATAAAATCATCTTCATTAGATTATTACTTCTCTACTACACAGTGAATTAGCTATATACTCTTCTTAATTTATTTATATCTGCATACAAACAGAAAAAACAAGTGAGAAGAAAACGAGATAAAGTACTAAACCATAAAAGAAACAGTATAAGAACCCTATGGAAAACAGGTTTTTCAAAATGATGATTTAGTATTATTTGCAAAATGAAGACATTATAAATGAATATTCAATGTAAGGGCCAAAAGAGGTATAGGGGACCTAGCTTCAATGGATATCAAACAGAGTTCGACTAGAGGAAGATAAAGAAATTTGATAAAGCAAGTGTAACTTGCTACAATTTGATGAACCTGACCTATTCTTACGGATGTAGTAGCACAAAATACCAAATGAGAGGGAAGGAGTCTTCACCTCAAGGATAAAGCCTGTCCCCTCAGTATACAAGAGTTGATGTTGTTGTTGCTATTAAGTACCGTAGAGTCGGTTCCAACTCATAGTGACCCTGCACAGGGTTTCCGAGGCTGCAAATCTATATGGGAGCAGAAAGCCTCATCTTTTTCCTGCATAACAGCTGGTAGTTTCAAACTGCTGACCCTGAGGTTCACAGCCCGATTCATAACAACTACGCTACCAGAACTCCTTACAAGGGTTGATAGGGACAGAAAAATTAGACATTAGCTACCTAAAATGGGCAGGGGGGAGAGGACAATAAAGGTACAAAATGGCTAACTTACAAGTTTTCAAGAGGGAGCTGTTTCAGAGTGTGAGGGGGAAGGTAGAATCCCCATTGACTAGTTTTCATCTTGTCTAGATGGGTCTGGTAAAAGGAGATGGGATATGACTCTTTGGATTCAATAGTGAGTAATTGTTATCATGACTAATTGCTATTGCCCCAAATGTAAAGGTAGGAGTTTTGAAACATAAAGGGGAGAGTAGTTAATCTTTGTTGTTGTTAAGTGCCTTTGAGTTGGTTCTGACCCATAGCGACCTTGTACAGGGTTTCCGAGGCTGTAAATCTTTACGGGAGCAGAACGCCTCATCTTTCTCCCGCGGAGCGGCTGGTAGTTTCGAACTGCTGGCCTTAAGGTTCACAGCCATATTCGTAACCACTACGCTACCAGTGCTCCTTCCCGATCCAGAAATAGAGGACCCTAGGACCATCAAGAGAAAAGAGCATGAGCGGAATATGGGATGCTAACCAGAAAAGCAGCAACACCAGAGATGGAGGCAGAGGTGATGATGTGGAAAGATAGAACAGCTGAGGACTCTAGACTCATGGAAAGGGAAAGGCTGTGTGCTGGATTTTGAACCATGAAAATTACCTAGTCAGAAACTACTTTAATTTTTATGTAGCCTGTTTTATGTTTGTATTTTTGCACTGAATCAGTTTCTTCCCAACACCACTTTTCTTCTTAGGTGCACTTTCAGATCAGAAATAGTCCAAATGGTCAAAGATAGGGAAAAAAATACTTCAGATGATTGTAAGAAACATCTAACTGTACATTAATTTGTTGTTGTTGTTAAGTGCCGTCGAGTCAGTTTCGACCCACAGTGACCCTGTATAGGGTTTCCGAGTGGCTGGTGAGCTTGAACTGCTGACCTTGCAAACTGACTCTGCAAGTCCAGTGCACTAACCAAAACAAAAATTATATTGGCTTACTCAGAGGTTGGAAGTATGGCCTTTGGATCAAACCTGGCTATAACCTGTTTTTATACAGCCTGTGAGTTAAGAATATTTTTTTACAGAAACTTTAAATTGCCCCACAAAGTCAAAAATGTTTACTATCTGATCCTTAACAGATTTGTTTGCTGACCTCTGCTCCAAATAATCACATCTCTTATATGTTCTTGTTCAAACAGCAGCAGTATAGACATGTTACCTTATATGTGCAGATCGTTAATTTCCTCTTTCTGGTTTCAGTGTTTCTCTGCAGCAATGTATTACACATTTGGAAAACCTGCTGCATGACAGCATCCTGTCTCAGGTCATCACGGCCCTTTAGAATAATCAAACATGAATAACTGCACAGTTCACTTTCTGGATTAGAATAATTTGAGAATAACAAAAGGCACTAAAAAATCAATCTGTGCATCTGTGTTCCTCTTAACAGTCTCTTAAATAAAAAAGATTGACAGTTACACTTTCATTAGAATAAACTAATTTTGGGTAGGCCAACTGATTTAGAATAAACAGGTTTCCTCTACCTGCTTTTAGAATTAGACAATGGGAACTCCCCCACCTGAGGGTGGAGCAGCACGGTATCTTTTTATTACTCTACCAAATCCACTTTTGGGGAGTCAATTGTGACTCTCAAAAAGCTCATAGGACAGAGTAGAAGTGCCCCATTGGGTGTCTGAGGCTAGAAACTTGATTGAAGCAGACTGCCTCATCTTTCTCTGGAAGAGCAGCTGGTGGCTTTAAACTGCTGACCGTTCAGTTAGTAGCCCCATGTTAAATCTGCTGAGCCATTAGGGCTCCTTCACTATTCCCCAGCAGGGAACAAAAGAGCTTCTGAAAAGTCAGGAAAGGAGGAATGCTGTCCTTTTCTGGTATATTCATAAGCACTTTAGCACAGTCTTCACTATACTGAACCAAGGGCCTTCACCTTGTGCTATTCAAGGAAGTAAGCACCAACCACCAAAATACTTCAAAGCAAGGAAACTGATAATTGATCTCATCATGCCTGCAGATTCTAACAGTACTCCTTTACTTCAATCATCACAATAATGATCTTTTGAGAGACACAAAAAGATGAAGGCAAGTATTCTGGTTCTAGAAAATAATGTATTTCCTCTTATAAGTTTTCCTTATTGATAATAATTCCTAATAAACATCAAGATCCAAATAAAGCAGGAAGAAAATATCAATTAACGTTTCCCTTTGACAGTAAAGTCATTAACTCTCTAAGAACCACACTAGAAAAGAGAGAAGCTCACCTTAACCAGCTGTCTCCTTTCCTTGCCATCGGAGCCGACACAATCTATTATTTTTGGTAAATTTAAACCTCCTGCTAAACGAAATTTTGCTTTGAATGACTGTATAGTCACCAGATTTCCATACCTTCCTGTGGGGTCCACCTAATAGCAAGTATAAATATAATAAAAGGTTAGATACATTATTTGCACTTAAAGACAAATTAGTTATATAAGACAATTTTCAAACAGGGAAATAACTGGCAACATGGTGTTGGATAAGAACTGGAACTATAATTTTACTATCTTATTTAAATAAAAGATATAAAATTGTCATTGGAAAGGTTTTAAGAAGTGATACATAAATAACACAACCTAAAAATCTCTCACTAAAGCCAGGATATATAGAGTTAGAATGTTGTTGTTGTTGTTATGTGCCTGGAGTCGGTTCTAACTCATAGCGATCCCGTACAGGGTTTATGAGGCTATAAATCTTTATGGGAGCAGAAAGCCTCAAGAGTTAGAATAGAGTTGCCAAAAAGCTACTGAAAAAACAAGATCCAGGTCTTGCCAATTACTGCCACTGTGTCATCTGAGAAATAGCAAAATTCTTCTCAACAACATTAACCAGTTAAATTTTGGAGAAAGGTAAAGGGGAGTTTTCAATGTCCTAATTGCTAAACCAGGCATTTTCAGGAAATATTCAGCTAAGTAACTTAGCTGATATAGTTGAAAAGATGTTAATCTATATAATGAAGCTACATTCAAATCAAATAACTACAGATAGGAAACACTAAACTGCAAAGGTGAGATTTGTGATGTAGGTAAAGTGATACTTTTCTCAACTAAAATAATTATTGTTATACATATTCTTCCTAGTATGGTATTTCTACAGCAGTAAACAATCATGATGACATAGCTAAATAGATCATGTCTGTAAGTCGTTGTTGTTGTTAAGTGCTGTCAAGTCGGTTCTGACTCATAGCGACCCTGTGTAGGGTTTCTGAGGAGTGGCTGGTGTGTCTGAAGCACCAAAGTTGCAGTTAACAGTCCAGTACTTATCCTACAATACCACACAAGTATTACAATAGATAAATGGGCAACTGTTTTTCTTCCTATATATTTTCCTTACTGGTAATAATTCAAATAAAAATAAAGTTTCAACTAAACCAGAAAGAAAATACCAACTAATGTTTCACCAATCACACCAGGACTACCTATATAAATAGTGCAATACTGTATGCACTACAGACTCCATGGCACATAACAACAACAACAACACAGTCAATTTAATGCACATAAAATTTTTAAAACCAATATAGAACAATTAGAAACTTTCTTGCCAGTAAAAATGAATATTGGCATAAGCATATGGTTCCTCTAGCCAAGTCACCTAGACCTTCTTTCATAAGAGAGGTGGGAGGTATAAGACTAAAGGAAAAGAAAAAGAAATCAGGAAAGGTCTCTGAGTATTTTAAAGCTCAGGTGAAAGGACTCGAATAAAGAAAAAACCTATAAGCTGAACCATAAGAAACTGCCAATATTTAACCAATTTTGACCTACCACAAAAAAAAACTGTTCAACTAAATGAAGAAGAAAATATTTTAAAACATCAAACAGCTAGTATTACATTACCTTAATTTCCATAGTGGGGACAACAACATCTTCTAAATCCTTAAGTTTAATAATTGGCTGGTCTGTTGGAATATTTATGCCTTCTGCATTTAAAATGAAGAGATTTTAGTGACATTTGCAAACTGAGGAACACAATGATGATTACATAAAGCAGGAGTATTCAGCAGATGCTGTAAGCCCCAACTTTTAAATCTGTGGTTTAGTCCCTGATTTCAGAAATAAAGAACCAGGGCTTGGAACACTAGGTAGCTCTGGGTCAAAGCACAGCAATGGTAAACATGGGCCACAGATAAAATCTGTAGATCATCTGCACTAGCAATTAGGTCAGAGTGCAAAGGAGAGACCACATGAGAATCTGCATAGCACATGGATATGTATTCCCAACACGTTACCATTAATTTGATTATAGGATGTACGATACTCGTTGTTTCATCAAGAAACACTATGTGAAGTCTCATTCTTATTTTAAAGTAATTGAGAACTCAAACTTGAATATAGGATTCTGAACAGAAAAAGGAATAAGCTTATTAAAAGTATGGGAACGAGATAGTTTTAAGTCAACACACATTTAGAGACTAGCCACATAACCAAATATTATAACAGCTTATAATAATTTGACCAGAAGACAACAGGAAAAGACATGGGTTAACTGTAAATGCTAGCACCTAAGGAGAAAATGGTTATTAGACCTTATATGTCAATTTGAGTTGTAGAGCACAGTGAATAACCAATGTCATTTAAAAACAAAACAAAACAAAAAATCCTTCAACCCTGGAAATTCTTAATTATCCAGTTACTTATTTAATGAACTTCCCACTATACAATTCTTTGAAACAAGTATTTGTATCAGAAGATTACCAGGAGAAATCAAATCATTCCCCTAGTGTTGTTAGCGGCCCCCAACTCATGATGGCCCCATGTACAATGGGAACAAACTGCTGTAACCCAGAGGTTTTCACAGGCTTTTATTTTGGAAGTAGATAGGCAGGCCTTTCTTAGGCTGTCTTTGTCTGTAAGCTCCACTGACACCTGTTCAGCATCATAGGAACAGGCAAGCCTCCAGTGACAGATGAATGGTAGCTGGGCTTCAGCAGGTACATTGGTCAGGAATCGAATTTGGGCATCTCATACAAAAGGCGAGAATTCTACCATGGAACCACCAATGCTCCTTGAGTAAACTCACCTATCAGTTGCCAAGAGATACTAAGTAAAAAAGTAACTGAGAGGTGTTGAAGCAATTAGGTAAATATCAAGTTTGGGGATCATGTACTCATTAGAACCTTCATATGTGCAGCATAACACTGTCTGATTTTAAACAGATTTACACATTAGACTCTCAAATTCTTTATAGAGAATAACACAACAACACTCATTCTTTCAAACACATACTTCTCTGAGTCTTCCACTGAGTGGCATCTAAGTTTGCTAAGAGAATATAAGCATCACAAAGTGCCTCGACATTTCTGACCATCTGAGGTCTCCTACTTTTGATAGTATGTATTATTTTGTTTGCAGCTTCAGTTCTATCCTATTAAACAAAAAAAAAAGCAACAAAAAATTATTACACAAGGAAATATACAACATTTAAACTAGTTGTAATAAATGAAAAACCAGGATTTATATACAGATCTAAGGAAAATAAGAACTGTAATTCCTCAGATATAAACAAAACAGTCACCTTATGAGTGAAATACATCATAAGTATGATTGTGTCAAGTGTCAAGGATTTACATGCCTTGAAATCTTTTTTTTCCCTCTTTGTCCATTGCTATAAAGAAAAAAAAATACGACTTGTATTCCTATGCTTTGTGAAGGAGCCCTAGTGGCACAGTGGTTAAGTGCTTGGTTGCTAACAGAAAGGTTTGCAGTTCTAACCCACCAGCCACTCCACAGAGGGAAATGAGGCTGTCAATTCCTGTAAAGATTTCTAGTCTGGGAACACCACGTGGGGCAGTCTGCTCCACCCTATAGTATTACAAAGAGTCAGAATTGACTCAACAGCAACAGATTTTTTAAATGTTTTCAGAAGTATTCAAAAATCATGAAATAATTTTAGTTAGTCTCATAACAAATAATTTTAAAACTGAATACTGTCAGGAACACAGATTCTTAGACTCTCTGAGGCATAAGAAAAGAATATTCTGGGAAACAATGAATACCACAATTCAAAAAGATATGCTTAATCCAAATACCTCATCAAGTTGCGAGCTTTGTTTGGGTGCATTTTTTGTTATTCTACTCCTTCTTGCTGCCTCTGGTTTGGTCAGGAATTCATCTTTATTTGCATTGGCTAAAGCCAGTATAATAAACAAAGTATGATGAGGGTGATCCATTGAAATTCTAGAGATGAGCTGTCAGAAAATTAAGAACTGTTAGTTTTATGTAAATAAACAAAAAATACAAAATCTACACGAGAATGGAAACTTTTTTCTTTCATTTTGTTAACATGAAAATGTGTTAAGGTATCATATACTGTAGTGGGTTGTTACCTGTCTGAGAGAGACAGAGAGGCACAGGATAAATGAGAGAGAGAGAAAATGAACAACTTATGTGGAGAGAAATGAAACAAAAGAAAATTTATTGTTATTAATTATTTCCAGTTAGACTGGAATAGTAGTAAGTACTATACTACAGCTAGTAATAGAAAAGTAATGGTTAGATTTTGATTTTCAGGTTTACTTACATTATTGAGGACTTCATGAAATCCTAGGCCTCCCATCATCTTAGTTCCCATTCTAGCAGCCAATTGGTACATAAGAGGCAAAAATTTGTATGATGGAATCTTCATTCCAACTTTCTATCATTAAAGAAAAACCAAACGGGGTTAAGAAACAAAATACTTCAAATATTTTCACACCCATGCAACTTATAAGTTAGCTATACAACTATCTAGTGGTTGCTCACAAAACTTCATTAGCTATATTTTTTTCATTGTCATTTATCCTTGCTAATGGGTTTTCCAGATTGATTTACTGGTATGCCAAAGTATTTGGTCCTAAATTAAACCATATTCAGAGTAGCTGAATATTGTATCCTTATGAGTACAAGGAGGACAGATTTTGGTCTGAGGACTATTTGACCTTGACTCCTAAGAAGTTGTTGCACACTAAAATGGGACCATTATCTTTTCCCTATATGCCAAAAGTAACAGACGTTAGTGTGTGCAAGCAGCAGAGACACTGATTGTTCCTATTTTGAGTTCACTAATTTTTTGCATCCAGGAGAATCATTTTACTTTTTAGCTTCAAGCTGACTGATACTATAGATTGTTTAAACACCATTTTCACTGGTGTATTAACACTGGGTAGTCTAGGACTGGAGTCTCTGGGCAGTATAAACAATTAACACAGATGAATGATTTTAACTACTTGTTGCTAATCAAAAGGTTAGAAGTTCAAATCCACCTATTACAGGTACCTTGAGAAAAAGGACTGATGGTCTACTTCCAAATCTCCTGCCCCTGAACCCTAAGGCGCATAATTCTACTCTGACACACACGGACTTGCATTGAGTCAGTATCGATGGCAACTAGTAAACTGTCACTAAAATAAAGTTTAAATATTTATGAAATACTTCTGTCTTGGTATTCTCTTTAAAAATATATACATATTTTCCATTTACAAAAGTAATTCAGGGTGAAGTATGTGTGATCACATCGTTTTAATTGCTTTCTAATTCCCCAAGGAGCTCTGGTGGTACAGCAGGCTGAGTTGGGATGTTAACCACAAGGTTAGCAGTTAGAACCCACCAGCCACTCCACAAAAGAAATATGAGGTTGTCTGCTCCCATCAAGAGTTACTGTCTCTGAAACCCTGTGGGGGCAGCTCTGTTCTGTCCTAAGGGACTAGTTACTAACAGTCAGAATTCACTCGATGGCAGTGTTTTACAATTCCTCTAATCTAGCATTCATAATTCACTATCCTACGGTAATTACAAAGTAACAGAAATTTTCTCACCTCCATACATAGTTGCATCATTACAACTTATTAAGTACTTATGTGTAGAGCAAGGAGTTAAATACTAGAGCTATAACCAGCTAACCACCTGCAGGTGAGTTGATTCCTGACCCTGAAGGGTGTATGTCCAATCTTTTAAAACAAAGGGTAGAATGGTAAGTTGAATGAAAAGACTTGCCTTCATCATGCCATTGACTTCAGAAACTCCAGCATTTTCAAGCCAGAGGGAACAAAGTCGGAATACCCACGTATCATGCTCTTCTCCACTTAATAAGCAGTTAATGTAATTTTCTACTGCTTTACATAAGAAACGTTTACGATCCTCTCTCAGTGCGCGGAGTGCACATTCATCCAGCTCCAGCTCTCGCTGAACCTTTACTGTGTATCTTGCAATGAATAATTAAAGCAAAACACAAAAGTCATAAATTTTACAGACCTACAAAATCATACATGATATACACCATAAATGAAAACTCAGATGTCTACCCAGTGTCAGATTATTCAATAAACAGGGATAACAGATTTACTTGTGCTTACTTAACTAATCTGTAGTGAACAATTTCACATTTTTCTCCATATCAAAGATTCTGCTTCTAGAATCTGGCATCTGCCTCTCTTCCTAACTCCACAGTACCTTCCTACAGAATCAAAGCCACTTTTCAAATTTACAATTACTGAGAGGGGCAGAGTACACAGTAAGCAAGGAAAGCACAGATTACTTATGCTTACCTACTCCTCGGAAACCCTATACAGGGTCGCTATGGGTTGGAACCTACTCAACAGCACTTAACAACAACTTAACAACCAGTCAGTAGTCAAGTTTTCACCAGATCAAGGATACGTTGAAACACGTGAAATTCGTGAAAATTATAAATTAGCAAGCAAGCACAAGTAAACCTGTGCTTACTTGATAGTTCGATAATCCATCCCAGTGCCCAAGAGGAAAAGTAAATTTGAATAATAAGACAAAAACTTGACTTTCTCATGAACTTTGCAATTCACAAGTCACCCTAGGCAACTGAAGACAAAATGGGCTCTACTCTACCTATTTAGTTAACTTTATCTCTATTTACAGTAAAAATAGATAAAGGCAAACTTGAATAAAGGGATGTAATTACATGCAAATAGCTAATTTTTCTGTATTTGATTTCAATATTTCTTTTGAACTCTGATACCAACAAAAACAAATAAAAAACAACAAGAAAAATAGAGCTGACCCCTCTACAATGAACTTAGAAGTGGACAAGGATTCTTCAAAAACAGCACGTGTCAATGTCTTCCTCATTTAAGCCTTGATTAAGCACTGTGCACCCAAGGCAATATGTGTACTTATGTCAAGCTTTAGTTTTCTACATTACAAGTTCACATGTAGTCAGTCAATTAATTGGTGAACATGGAAAAATTGTCCCTTCTAGATAAGCAGTTACCTGTTAGTCTGGATTTTATGTTCCCTAAGGAGGCCCACTTCCTCTTTGGCTCTTTTCAGAAGAGCTTGCTTGTTTTCAAATTCTGATGATTTCATGTAGTTTTCAATTCTCTGGTACTGAGTATCTGAGAACCGTGCTAATGAGAGAAATGCCTTCGTTTTTCCATTTCTAAGCTCATCACTGCTTCCTCCATCATAATTTCCAACAACTTCCACTGCCTTCAAGAAAACATAACCCATTTATACTTCAGTTACAAATACCAAATAGATCTGACTGTAAAGAGTCCCCTAGATCAAGGTTATGCCCACATTAAGGTTTCATAAATATATGTGTATGTATGGAGTCCTGGTGTGGCGCTGTGGGTTAATGAACTGGACTGCAAAGTCAGTTTGAACCATAAGGTTGGCTGCTCAAACCCACCAGTTGCTCCTCGGAAACCCTAGACTGGGTCGCTATGAGTTGGAACTAACTCAATGGCAATTAACAGCAACAACGTAGCGCAACTTTATGAAGTACAGTGTTTTCTCAACTTTTCAAAATGGCTGACAGTGAAGAAATAACCCACAACGATTAATATAAACTCACTGCCCCACTGAGTTTCCTACCTAACCTTTCAAGTTGCCAATTTGATCTCATGTAAGCAGTTCCTAAGGAACTGTGTGTGGTGTGGCACTGTGGGTTAATGTGCCAGACTGCAAAGCTGTTTGAACTGCAAGGTTGGCAGTTCAAGCTCACCAGCTGCTCTTCGGAAACCCTGCGTAGGGTCGCTGTGGATCTGATCTGACTTGACGGCACATAACAACAACAAAAAAGTATAATGTTCATGGCAGACCTTTTCAACTGGTTACTAACCTACTGTTAAGTTTCAAGAAGAGTTTAAGGGGATACTATTAGTTTAAGGTTTAAATATTATCTCGGAGCAAGGTCCTCTTTAAAACTTAAGGGCAATCACATTATGCTTTGCTTGTTATACTATTTAGTATAGTAGCTATTTCCAAAATTAGTACTACTAAAAAGAATTACGAGGGAGAAACATATTCTTTAGTCAGCTATTTCTCTACATGAATACACAGAGAAATGATCAAAGTGAAAGAGTACTTAGTGGTAGTGGGGGGAGATAGGGAGGAGAGAGGATACCCACTTGAACTTACTTTCAAAATATGTCCCTTCTTCTGTAGCATTCTGTTTCATTCTGACCTAAAGACTATGCTGAGCCACCACAGAAATGAAAAGGAATTCCTATTTTTATTTGCTTCTGAAATACATTTGGCCTTGGGAAAAGACTAAGTGTATTCATATTAAACAAATACCTCAAGGGTTGCTCCAAAGCTTACCTTTTCCAGATAGGTCTGCATGATGACTGCAGGATTTTCTAAGCAAGTTTCTGCTAGCCAGTTCCCACAAACCCTCAAACATTCTGCATATAACAGTTTTTGGGTAGGTTCATACTGTGTAAGGAAAACAAAACTTAAAACATATAATACATCATCGGTACAATTTAAAATATATAATTCAATTTTGGCTTGACAATTTAATTGTCCCACTTCATTTCTGATTTTTACTTTCATCTTCTCATGTATTCACACTTCCATGTTTTTCGTGCTACATAAAAGGAACTCTGGTAGCATAGTGGTTATGAGTTAGGCTGCTAACCTCAAGGTCAGTAGTTCGAAACTACCAGCCGTTCCATGGGAGAAAGATGAGGCTTTCTGCTCCCATGAAGATTTATAGCCTTGGAAACCCTGTACAGGGTCGCTATGAGTCAAAACCAACTCCAAAGCACATAATCACCATGACCAACGACACAAATAGCTGTTCCATATTTTATGCTTCCCACGTATCCTTTTTAAATTCTACAGAAAAAATTTTAATTTGTTAAATTTATCCCAATGCTATACAAGATATGATAAACTGATAGAATTGTTGAGAATAGGGAAAACAGATGCTTTCTAAACTTCTTTTATAAGTATTAATTTTCAAGACTCTTTTTTTTTTGGCAAATTCTTATTCATGGATCATCATTTTAAGCCTTTAATATGCTAAAGCAGTGTCAATCAAAGAAAGTAACCTCTGTACAACTGGCATCCAATCTCTTGATCATTTGCTTGAGAACACTCAGTGCGAGACTCTGCTCCTTTTTTGCCCAGAACACTTGCGCTTCCTCCAGCTGCCACTCAGACACTCCACAACTAGTTGAATTATACTGTTTAATTTGAAATATTGCCCTTTCAGGGAGCTGAAATGAAAATGACATATGGGAGTGAATGTTATTACTATTACTACTCCTAATAATAATGAAAATACCAACTACTATTCAATTATTGGAGTCCTGGTGTGGAGCTGCGGGTTAATGCACCGGACTGCAGTCATTTGAACCTCAAGGTTGGCGGTTCAAGCTCACTCGCCACTCCTCGCAAACCCTTTACAGGGTTTCTGTGGGTCAGAACCAACTCGATGGCATTTAATAACAACATTCACTTGTTGCATGTCGTTGAGTAGGTGCCAACTCATAGCAACCCTGTATAGGGTTTCTGAGGGGGACTGGTAGTTCTGAACCACTGACCTTGCGGTTAGTAGTCCAGTGCTTATCCTACAGGGCCATACCAACTATTTACTATTCAGTAAGCACTTACTATTTTTGAGGAACTGTGTTAAGCATCTCTGCCTGCCTTCCACCCCTAACCCTGCATGCCTATTTATCTGTCTCTATTCACACACAGAGTACATCAAAATAACTAAACTGCTATCAATATAGTGAGTTAGGCTTCTTCTCATTTTATAATCATGAAATTGAGGTTTAAAAAACATGAATACCTTGCCCATGGTTTATATCCATGTCTGTCTAATTCTAAAACAGGAAATTTCAATTACATTATACAATATATTAATAGTGATCTCTCCATGACATTTCTTTTAAACTCATGCTTTCCTGTTTTTTGAGTAAAAAAAGGGAAGTAAGGCAGTGAGATGAAACAGTTTCAAATCCTATTACCTGAGTGTTCTTGAAAGTTCGGGCCAGTATAGAGAGTTCTACAAGGTGCTTGGTTAGAATATCTTTAAAACATTCTCTTTGCGAGTTTTCCATTTCCTTTTCCATCAGGATCTCCAAAATGACAGTGCGTAGAGCCATGACAGGCTCCTGAAAACTAAAGTCACTGTCCTTGAGAAGCTGCGAGTGTTTCTGCCACTTATAATATACTTCAGAGAGTTGCCTATCCGTGACTGATCTGAAGGCCAACTCATTAGTTCATGCAAACAAGAAAAATGAAAATTAAAAAAATGGATGACGTTATTATGTGAGTTCTGAAACTTAAGTCAAAGCACAAAGGAATTTTAAAGTAATAATACTGGAACTTCTAAATACTCTTAAATATGGACCAAATTTTAGAAAACTACAAATTGCTATGAGGATGTGGTCAGATCTCGGTGGGTCAGTAAAAGATGCCGAATAATAAACATGTTTAAAGATTTCCTTTAGAAAAACTTTTCAACCTTATAAAAAGCACCCCTTGTGAATAAGTTTTCTTCTGAAGTGAGAATATAGTCAGTCATAACACAGGCCTATCATACAGAAGACTATGCCTCTAGGTCTACTTTATAAAGATTCCTATGGACAAAAGGATGTGTTAGCAAGGAAATAAATTCACAAACTCCCTACTCTGCCCATCAGGCAGAGTATGTATAAGTGCAGTGTCTTTAAACTGTAACCCAATGAAGGAAAAGCTGGAAACTGCTCCAAGTGTCATTTTACCAACATTATTTACTACAGAAAGAGAAAGTGCATATTGTAAAGCTAGTATATATGAATATGCCTTCCAGATGTTCAAAAAAACCATTTACCAAGCAATACTATCCAACGTTTCAGAACTACTGTGCTGAGAAAAATAAAGAAGCAAGGAGACTAAGAAGATGAGGTGGTGACTAGAAAGGAAACCACAGCACTTTCAATTGCTTGAGAGAGAAGGAAACTATAACACAAATTCAGCAGGGTTAAGGATGGAAACAGGAAACAACAGAGACGAAGCACAATAAGTGAGGTTACACTGAGGGGAGTGCAATCAGTGACAGAAACCAAAATGAGTATGAATTGTTGAATGCAAAACTGATGGTCTGCTCTGTAAACCTTCACTCAATTTACAACGAACAGCTAAAACACAAAAATAAATTCACAGGAAGCAAAACTTCCTAAAATGAACTCAGAGCAGTAGTTCTCAACCTTTCAGTTTCCAAAAACTTTTACACTTTTAAAAGCATTCTAAAGAACTGTTATTTACCATATTAGAAATTACAACTGAGGAAAAGCTAAAATTGATTAATATATTTTAAAAAGCAGTAAATTACTATGTTGTTGCTGTTGTTAAGTGCCATTGATAAGTTCCAACTCATAGTGACCCTGTGTAAGGTTTCCAAAGAGCAGCTGGAGGGTTTGAATCACCAATTTTGCAGTTAGCAGTATAGTGTTTATCCTAGAGTGCCACATCAGGACTCCAAATCTACTATACACATCACAAATACCACCCTTTAAGAAAAAGAAATAATTTCCACAATCAAAACATTTGGTACGAAGTGTGGCACTGTTTTACATATTAGCAAGTCTCTTTAAAGTCTGGCTTAATAAAAACAAGCTGGATTCTCATCTCTGTTTCTACGTTCAGTTTGTGATATGCTGATGTTCTGGCTGAAATTTATTTAAAAGGTGTAGCCAGACACAGATATGTAGTTGAGAAAGAGGGGAGTCTGTTAATAGGCTTTTCAGAGAATTAGGGATATTCTTCTTGAACAGCTCAACCAAATGATGAGAATGAGAAATAAATAACAAATTAAGGTAATTACAAGGACCTCTGTTAGCATAGTGCTTATGAGTCGAGCTGCTAACCTCCAGGTAAGCAGTTTGAAACTACCGGTGGTTCGGTGGCAGAAAGATGAGGCTTTCTGCTCCTGTAAAGATTTATAGCCCTGGAAAACCTATATAGGGTCACTATGAGTCGGAACTGACTCCTCGGCATACCACCACCACCAATGTAATTTTAATGATAGTTTTATGGACTCCGAATAGGTCATGGGGACGCACAGAAATCCCTAAGAGAACGTTAAGGACCGCAGCCCTAGAACATAAGCATTAGTTCACCAGTTCATCAAACTTTCCCCTGGCCTTTAATTTGTCCACCAGAAAAAGAGCTGGCATTAGTGTTTAGAGATTTTTTGAGGAATTCTATATTCTTTTTTGGTACAAAAAAATCTTTCATTTAAAGGAAAAATACATACATTCTGGCAGTAAGAACTGCTAATTTAGTAATTATCAATGAGAATAGAAAGCATTTTCGATCTTACTCTCGAGGCACACCAGAACCATGTCAATGGCTTTTCTTTGGTAATACAACGTTGGAAAAAACAAGCACGAAAACATTTAGGACTTGGAAAGTTTTTCCTTCTCCCTACTCCTAAAGCACAAGGAGCTCTGGTAGCGTAGTGGTTACGAATCGGGCTGCGAACCGCAAGGACAGCAATTCAAAACTACCAGCTGTTCTGCAAGAGAAAGATGAGACGTTCTGCTTCCATGAAGATTTACAGCCTCGGAAACCCTGTACAGGGTCGCTATGAGTCAGAACCCACTCCACGGCACACAGCCAGTCAGCCAGAGATCCTGAAGTACAAAACCCTTATTTCAGAAATGAAGAAACGGAGGCCCTAAAAAGTGAAGTGATTTTTTCAAAGTAACTTAGATCTACAACATCCTGAGTAACTGCTCTAACTCATCTTCTGTGTCACTGGTTCTCTTTCTTCTCACTTTTGTAACAGGTCCCTAAACACCTGGCATTCACTGGATACACATACACAGATTATTAGCCTAACCATCAGCCACCAGGAAAGACACTGGGGGTATAATTTGCAAGAGAATATTCCTGGGCTAGCATGGTGGAATCTATGTAAAATGAACCATTTGTAATTTGTAAAACAGAATGGGGTACAATGTACTACAAGCAAGGAACAATGAGGAAATTACTTTATCTTTGGTAAAACAGGAAAAAAGGTGCAATCAGGCTGAATTTTAGAAACACATTTTTACAATAAAGATTTAAAAAAATTGTTTCTTTTAATAAGACCACAGATCACTAGGCTAGTCAACTTTTATTTTTGATCAAGGAAGTGAACCTATAGCTGGTCTCTACATTGTTGTTGTTGTTAAGTGTGTCGTGGAGTCGAGCTGATTTCAACCCATGGTCTCTACATAGTTTCTAGTTTTTAAAAGCATTGTTGTAAAACACAAAAGTAGCACTTTAGGATTGATTACCAAGTTATAGGGATCACACACCTTGAGAAAAGCTCCCCAATGTTTTCCAGCTCTCCAATGGCCTGTAATCTGCTAAGGGTGGGGTAGAGTGAATACACAGATTCAAGGCTACCCTTACACAATTCTTCTACTTCTTTCACCCTAGTGGCAAGAAAGAAAAGGCAATGAAAAAAGGCTTTCAAGGAGATGAAAACTCAAGTTTGTTGTTAAGGAGTACTTACAGGCTTTGCTGTTGATCTATTAACTACTAATGTTCACAAATGGTAGTACAACACAGTGGAAAACAAAATACAAACATTTAGGTCATACAGATCTAGATCTAAATCCCAGCTCTGTCATTTACTGGCTGGGTATCTTTAAATACACTACCAGATTTCTCTGAGCCTAAGTTTTTTCACTTTCAGAGTTATTTGAAGATTAGAGAACACATATGGAAACAATCTAACAGTCGCTAGCACACAGCAAGTAATTAAACAGTAGCAAATACTGTCTCTGCGATAAAAGATAGGATATTAGGTCAGTAACTAACGACAAACAAAAATTAACAAATTATATTCAATTAACTCTTTATAGAGTTAAGAATTTCCTTATATATTATCACATTTGTTTCTCAAAATGAACTTAAGTACTGACTATTAGCCACCATTTAATAAATTAGTACATTAATGTTAAAAGAAGTAACTATTAAATAGATGAAATAAAATAAGAATTTTCAGGCAACTGTCCCAAGAAGCAAAAGAAGGAATGGAAAGGCTTCCTTGAGGCAGCAAAGTGAAAAACTTACCTGGAGACTCAAAGAGAATTTTCTGAGGGGTAAGAACAGGGAATGACAAGGAAATATTCTAGCCACTTCATCATCATCCCATCACCAATCATCAAGTTTCAAGAAAAGAAAACAAGATGTTAGATGCTAAAATACAATGGACTACTTTAACTTTTTACCATACCTGGCATATTTGAGACTTTCATAAAATGTGGAAAACTCTCTATCTCTTAGAGACTGCAGAGCACTGTACAAAGATTCGTGGTAACTGGTTTCTTCTATTTCTTTGCTGTGAGATAATTAAAAGAAAAATAAAGGTATTGAAAAACAGAGAATCCTAACGTGTGTATAGATACTTGACAAATGACAAAATTCTAAAACTAAAGTGAAGATTTCTCCATTTAAAAAAAAACACACATTTCTCCCACCCCCTCCATACACAGAGTAGATAGGGATGGGCAACTTGGACATTGGCTACCCAAAGTGGGAGGCTACAAAGGCAAGAAGTGACTGGCTTACAAGCTTTCAAGAGGGAACCAATATTCAGAGGGTGTGTAAGAAGGTAGAATCTCCACTGAGTAGTAGCAAATCTGTCCAGGTGGGGCTGATGAAAGGAAATGCAGATAGGTCTCTTGTGATACAATAGTGAATAATTGTTATCAGGACTGATTGTGAGGGTTGGAAATGTAAAGGTAGACGTTTTATAGCAAGGAGGGGAGTGATTAACTTTTCAGTCTAGGAGTGGAGGTCCCTGGGACCATCAAGGGAGAAGAGTGGAGAGTGGGACCCTACACAGAGAAGCAGTGATGCCTGAGATGAAGGCTGAGACGATGACGTGGAGAGATGGAGCAGTTGGGGACTTTAGACTCAGAGAGGGAGAGGGGCTGTGTGCTGACAACCGAGGGACACGCGGTGGCAGGCTTGCAGGGTATACCCTTTGGTTGGTTGATGATGCATGGAGGGGATTGTAACCATGGCAATGAAATGATATATGATAGGATGCATGTAAAATTAATGTTCTCCCATATAAACTATCACATAATTCACAATAAAACATTAAAAAAAAAAAAAAGCGAGAGAAAAACACATTTCAAGAAATATTGGTAAAAACTTGAGAGAATTTTGTTGGTCACTTAAATTCTGTAAGCAGAAAATATGGAAATATCTCAGATTTCTGACTGGTCCTAAACATGGCATACTCTTATTTACTGAATACTATGAGAATAAGTAAAAAAATTACCTGCACTATAGCTGTAGAATGTATTTTAATCAACTTTTAGAAAAGACAAATATATCATTTTTGGACATAATCGCCTTGAGTACACTTTGTCCACCTGTCAACAAGCTTTTGTATTTCCTTATTAAAAACATGTTTTAGGCTGAGCTGCGAGTCATGAATGCACAGCTGTCTTCACTTCTTCATCAGAGGTGAAGCTTTGTCCTCGAAGGGCTGCTTTCATGGGACCAAACAAGTGATTTGATGGAGCAAGATCAAGACTATAGGAAGGATACATTAAGACCTCAAAACCAAGTTTCTGTAGAGTGTCAACACTGTGGGCAGAGGTGTGAGGACATTGCCTGTCACACTCTTGAACAGCAGCTTCCTCTGTATTTAATCAGAAGTTTAGGCTTTATTCGGCTCTTCAGTGAGCATCTCACTGTAAAGAGAACTGTTGATTGTTGAACCTTTTACCTGATAATGTTTCAATACTGGCCCTTGAGAATCCCAAAAACTCTAAGCATCAATTGTCCAGCTGATGGCTGACTTCTGGACTTTTTCTTGGTCAGAGATTGAAGCTGTTTCCATTCCATACTCTGCCGTTTACTCTCAGGTTCATAGTGATGAATCCATTTCTTGTCACCAGTGACTATTTTTGTAGAGAAACTTTTACCTTCCTTCAAGTTGCTGTTGTTAAGTGCCATACAGTTGGTTCCAACTCATAGCGACCCTGTACAGGGTGTCTGTGGAGCAGCTTGGACTTGAAATGACAACCTTGTGGTTAGCCGTCCAGTGCAGATCCTACAGTGCCACACAAGAAGTCTGCAGATGTCCAGACACTTCTGTTTATGCTCTTCTGTGAGTTGTTTCAGTATCCACTTTGCACAAACTTTTCGAAACCCAAGTCTGTCGTGGATTATTTCATTGGCAGAGCCATGGCTGATTTGCAAATGACTTGCTACACAATCCACTGTCACCAGTCTATTCGACAGAATCACTTCACATGCACGCTCAATGTTGTCATCAGCCATGGACATAGGTGGGCGTTTTAGTAAATCCTGAGTGTGGGTAATTTCTGACTTACCCTCATATTACGTGCCAGGGATTAAAAACCAGATTCTAGATTAAGGGGATCCATTAGTGGAAAAGTTGATCACGTTCCTACTCTCCCTGTGTTTATAATTCTGGCTTGAAGAAAATGGACAATAAATAAGAGAGAAGGGCTGTGCAGGCAAAGGAAGAGAGGCACATGATGATTCACATAGGTAAGCAGGTACCAGCACACAGAGCACAATATTTTAAAACTTTTAAAGTGTATCTCTAATGTATAGCAATCTTATTGAAATCTGAAAGACATGCTGATTAATGAGATTTTTTTTTCCATTGAAGGTAATTAAATATATAATTAATTAACATGATTAAATTTTTTTAGCGTTTATACCTCAAGACTACACAAATATGAAACCTTTGTTAGACTAGGTGTTTGGCTTTTTACTCAGAAAATTTAGTGGTCTTATATAGTATCTTCCTGTGTTACTAATTTAGCAGATTTTTTTTTTTTTTTGTAAGAAAAAATTTCATAAATAAAAGCAAGCAGCCCTTTGTGTATCATCGGCCAGTAAGAGTACAAAACAAAATATCTGTGTCTTTCTTTGGATTCTTCGGGCCTATAAACAGTAAGTGAGAGAATTCCTATAAAGAAAGTGCTTTTTGTGTTTCTATTTTCAACAATTATCTTGGAGATGGGGATGGAATTTCCCTAGTGGAGCAAGAGTAGGAAATTCAAGCCAATGTATATTAAAGGCTAATTGCTACTTAGGTTTTTAGGTCTACTTTTACCGTGCAGCATCTATAACAGATAAAAGCACAATTCTTGTTACACTGATAGAGGAATGCAAAGAACTAGGGAGGGAAGGGGCAATGAAACAAATTTCTGATTTCTCCTTACTTGACAGAACTGCAGTGGTCCCACTGCATAGTCCTCCATGCTGCTTGGTAGTGAAGCTCCTGTAGTTCAGCACACCACTCTTTATTTTCATGATCTAGTCCTTTTAAATAGGTGGAAAGAATATGGCAGAGTCCCAAATTCTGCAGCGCCTGGGCAAAAGTTTTTTAAAATAAAAAGGCTAAGTAATCCAAAGTATTAAGAGAAAACTCAAGAAACCAAAGTCAGCAAAAAAACATTAAAAGTAACTTTTAGAAAATCAAGTAGTTCAAAATTTTGCTTAAAATCATAAAATATTGCTTAGTATGTTCCCCCAAAAGAAACATACAGGGGAGTTTCAAAAGTTTGAGAAAAAATGGAATTAAAAAATTTTGAAATTTCCCTCTGAACTTCTTAAAGCCCCCTTGTAAATAGAAGTCAAAGGCACTAATCTGTCATATCTGATGGAGTAATAACAAAGGAGTATTAGCCAGTGACAGTTTCTGGGACCCACTGTAATACAAACGACAAGAAGTAGAATTCAAATTTCCAGAAAAACCACTCAGCACACATTGGCACCTGGTTAAACAAATATCACCTACTATTAGCTAACAAGATTATGATCAACACATTTATACTGTCTCTTAGATCAGTGTCCTGTCCAACTTTGATATATATCTTGATGAAACAAGTGTGAACAACAGATTACTTTCATTCCCTTCTCTAGAGTTTAAGTAATTGTGTAAACAGTCAATCATATTCTGAAACAATCTCAGCATCACACTAATGATGACATCATGAAAGCAGAGGATAAAAGCACCTGAATAATTCCAGCCTGGCGAGTTGATGAGGTGATAGCTGTCTCAAGATCATATGTTACTAGGGCTTTCCCCCACATTGCTTCATGCTCATATGTTCGTATTCTAGAAGAAAGATTTTAAAAATATTTTTTAGTTCTACATGCACTAATTCCTTCATACACCATTATCTAGAAAGATGCAATTTACCTAGTAAGGGGTTGTAACATTTTCCCTCCACCACAGCCATACAGGCTATCCGGCTCTCCTATACTTCTGTAGATTTCTAAGAGAAGATTCTGAAACATGAAAACGACAAACATTGGAAGGAAAAAAAAAATATTTTAAAAACTTTAGCAAACTTGAAATGTTATCATTACCAACATTAACGCCCAACTCTGTTATGTTACCAAAGTAAAAGATACTAGTACTGAAATATATTCTAAATCTGGATCTGCAGCAACATTGCAGACTAATTTCAGACAGACAACAGAATGATTGTGACCTACCTGGGGAGAGTGGCTCACATTATGATGATTTGTTGTTGTTAGGTAACACTGAATCCATACTGACTCATAATGACCCTGTGCAAAACAGTACGAAACACTGCCTGGTCCTGCGCCAACCTCACAATCATTGGCCAATCCATCTTGATGAGGATATTTTTTTTCTCTGACCTTCCACTTTACCAATCATGACATCCTTCTCCAGGGACTAGTCCTTCCAGACAAATTCTGGCTATCCTGGCTTTCAAGGAGCATTCTGACTGCACTTCTTCCAACACAGACTGGTTTGTTCTTTTGGCAATCCATGATACTTTAATATTCTCCTCCAACACTGTAACTCAAATGCATCAATTCTTCTATGGTGTTCCTTATTCAATGTCCAACTTTCACATGTTTATGAGGTTACTAAAAATACCATGGCTTGGGGCAGGCACACCTTAGTCCTCAAACTGAAATCTTTGCTCTTAAACACTCTAAGAGATCTTGTGTAGCATATTTGCCTAATGCAATATGTCGTCTGATTTCTTGATTGCTGCTTCCAATAGCATTGATGGTTGATCCAAGCAAAATCAAGTCTTTGACAATTTCAATCTTTTCTCCATTGTTAAGAGTGTTAATTTATTGGTCTAGTGGTGAGGATTTTTGTTTTCTTTACATTGAGGTGCAAGCAATATCGAAGGCTGTGATCTTTGATCTTCATCAGTAAGTATTTTAAGTCCTCTTCACTTTTGTATCATCTGCATATTACAGGTTGTTAATTAGTCTTCCTCCAATCCTTATGCCACTTTTTGTTTTTTGTTTTTTGTTTTTGCATATAATCCAGCTTCTCCAATTATTTGCTCAGCATACAACCCTGGTGTACATCTTTCCTAATTTTAAATCATTCAGTGTTCGATTGTTCTGTTCAAGCAACTGCCCCATGGTTCCGTATAAGCACAATTAAGTGTTCTGGAATGTTCATTCTTCACAAAGTTGTCCATAGTTTGTCATGATACACACAATTGAAAGCCCTTGTATAGTTAATAAAAGCACAGGTAAACATCTTTCTGGTATTCTCTGCTTCCAGACATTAGATGTCATCCATCTGATATCAGCACTAATATCCCTTGTTCTACATCTTCTTCTGACTCTGGCTTGAATCTCTGGAAGTTCTCAGTCAATATATGGTTGCAGCTGTTTTTGTAAAACAGCTTTAGCAAAATTTTGCTTACATGTAATACTGCCGATGATTTCTGCATTCCATTGGGTTACCTTGGTGAAATGGGTACAAATATGGTCTCTTTCAGTCACATGACCAGGTAGCTTTCAAACTTCTTGGCATAGATAAGTGATTGCCTCCAGTGCTGCATCAGTTTGTTGAAAGATTTCAGTTTGTATTCCTTCAATTCCCGGTGCCTTGTTCTTTGCCAGTGTCTTCAAAACACCCTGGACTTACTTCTTCCTTCAGTGTCACTGGCTCTTTATCAAATGCTCCCTCTTGAAATGGATGAATATTGACCAGTTCTTTTTGGTACAGTGACTTTGTGTATTCCTTTCATCTTCTTTTGATGCTTTCTGCATCATTCAATATTTTTACCAGACTCCTTCAGTATTTCAAATCGAGGCTTGAATTTTTTCTTCAGTTCCCTCAGCTTGAGAAATGTTGAGCATGTTCTTCCCTTTTGATTTTCTAATTCAAGTCTTTGCACATTTCATTATAATATGTGACTCTGTCTTCCCAAGCTGACCTTTGAAATTTTTTCTATTCAGTTCTTTTAGCTCCTCATTTCTTCTATTTGCTTTAGCACCTCTACTCTGGAGTGCAAGGTTCAGAGTCTCTTCTGATATCCATTTTGGTCTTATCCTTCTTTCTTGTCTTCTTAATGACCTTTTGCTTTCTTCCTAAATGATGTTCTTGATTGTCATCCCACAACTCTTCTGATCTCCAGTCTTTATAGTGTTTAATGCATCAAATCTCTTCTTGAGATGGTCTGTAAATTCAGGGGTGATATGTTCAAGGTCGTATTTTGGCTCTCATGGACTTATTTTAATTTTTGTCAGCTTCAGCCTGAACCTGCATTATGAGCAATTGATGGCCTGTTCCACAGTGCCTGTAGCCCTGTTTTGACTGATGACATGGAGCTTTTCTAACATTTATTTTCACAAATGTAGTCAATTTGATTTCTGTGCATACCATCTGCTGAGGTCCATGTGTATAATTGCCTTTTATGGTGTCCTATAAAGGTATTTGGAATGAAGAAGTCACTGATCTTGCAAAATTCTATCATGCGATCTTCAGCATCAGTTTTATCACCAAATTCATATTTTCCAACTACTGAACCTTCAACTTCTTTTTCCAACCTTTGCATTCCAATTTCCAATAATTATCAATACATCTTGATTACATGTTTGATCAATTTCATAGTGAAAAAGTTGGTAGAATTCTTCAATTTCATCATCACTAGATCAAAGACCACAGCCTTCAGTATGGATTATATCTCAATGTAAAGAAAACAAAAATCTTCACCACTGGACCAACAACAACAAAAAAATCTTATGAACAGAGAAAAGATTGAAGTCGTCAAGGACTTCATTCTTCTTGGATCAACTATTAACACTCATGGAAGCAGCAGTCAAGAAATCAAACGATGTACTGCATTAGGCAAGTCTGCTGCACAAGACCTTTTTAAAGTGTTGAAGAGCAAAGATGTCAGTCAGCTTGAGAATTAAGGTGCACCTGACGCAAGCCATGGTATTTTCAATAACCTCATATGCATGTGAAAGCTGGACAGTGAATAAGGAAGACTGTAGAAGAATTGATGCATTTGAGTTATGATGTTGGAGGAGAATATTGAAAGTGCCATGGGCTGCCAAAAGAACCAACAGACCCATGTTGGAAGATGTGCAGCCAGAGTACTCCTTGGAGGCCAGGATGGCCAAACTTTGTCTCTCATACATCGGACATATTGTCAGGAGGGACCAGTCACTGGAGGAGGATATCATGTTTGGTAAGGTGGAGGGTCAGAGGAAAATCCCCAATGATGGATTGGCCAGGTGGCAGCATCGATGGACTCAAGTGTGGCAACAATGGTGAGGTTGGCCCAGGATCAGGTCGTGTTCCATTCTGCTGTGCATAAGGTCGCTATAAGTCGGTACCGACTCGATGGCACCGAACAACAACAGCCTTATGGTTGGTGCATGAATTTGATTTGATAATATGGTATTAACTGGTATTCCTTGTAGGTATATGGTTATTATCCTATCACAGACAGTCCTGTACTGAAGACAGATCTTCATATGTTCTTTTTGATGATGAATGCAACTCAATTCCTCTTTGTCATTCCTGGCATAGCAAACCAGGTGACTATTAGATACCCACTGGCCAATATCAGTCCATTTCAGCTCACTATGCCACCAAGCATATCGATATGTATGCGTTCCATTTCACTTTCGACAGTTTTCAATTTTTTTAGATTTATACTTCATACGTGCCATGTTTCGATTCTTAATGGATGTTTACAGCTGTTTCTCTTCATTTTGATTTTGTGTCCCATCAACAAATAAAGGTCCCAAGGGCTTTACTCGAGTTGCGTCATCATGGTCAACTCTATTCTGAGGAGGCAGCTCTTCCCCAGTCATATTTTGAGTGCCTTCTAACCTGTAAGGCTCATCTTCTGGCACTCTATCTGAAAATATTCTAGTACTCTTTATGTTTCAGTATTCAATATTCTGGCACTATCTAATAGTATTTCACTGCTATTCATAAGATTATCAGTGGTAAAATATTCAGGAGTAGCCAGTCTCTCTTTCTTCGTAATCTGTCTTTGTCTGAAAGCTCAGCTGAAACCTGTCCACTGTGGTTGACCCTGTGTATTTAAAATACCCATGGCATAGCTTTCACAATCACAGCAACACGCAAGCCACCACAGTAGGACAAACTGACAGACGAGTGGTGGAGATTTAATTAAGAAATAAAGGTTTTTATCACATGCAAAGCAATCACTAAAAAATGAAAACAAAAAGAACTCCAGCCACAGCTAAACTACAAATAGAAATAAGTTCTATAAAATCTGGTTCTCAAAAAAGGAATTAAATAGAAATAAAGGCCGTAAGTTTTATCTGAAATAAAACTCAAAATTGTATAATATGATACTTAGTGAAATGTGATATGGATAAAGGAAGTCATGGCTTAGGGACTCAAAAATTTTAAAGATATTTACACAAGAATTTATTTAGTTTAAAATAATCTCCATAATACAAAATAATTTATATACAGTAGACAAAATGGTATTCCACAGAAAACTGATCAAGTAACTGTCTTAATATACTTGATCTTGTAAATATTTTATATATCCAAATTCATTGATATTGACATAATTCTATAATTCTAAAGAAAATATTTCTATTTAGAAAGCATGAAATCAAGCCCTTAGGGTTGGAACAATTAATACGTAAGCCTAGCTAGTGGCTGCGGAGAATAGCCCCCTAAAACTCAGTAAAGGACAATGAGACAGCAAAATGTCCAAACAGAAGGAGAAAACTCAGGGGAGAGTGGGATCAAAAGGGTAAACAGAATGTATTTCAAACAAGGCATGATCATAAGGTGCTAAGTGTTACTGAAACGTTAGGAAGAAGAATGAGAGGCGAACACCAAGCTTAAACATGATGGTGCCATTAACTAATACTATTTCAGTGAATGGAGTAAGAGAGAAGACGGAGACTGCAAATGTAAAAATCTCTTTTGACAGTGAAGGGAGGGAAGAGGGAGGGTAATACCCAAAAGAGAGCATAAGGAAGAGCAAAATAATTTTGTAAGAAAGGGAATTATTTTTAATGGGAGAGGTTTGAAAGCATTTAGAAGGATAAAGAATATAGTTGAAAGGGAGCATGGCATAATAAAAAATATAATGTTTCTGAGAAAAAGTAGATATTAAAAAGCACTGTAAGGAATAAGCCTTATATCTAAGGCAAAACTGCTTCTCACCTTTTAACAAGAGGGAGAAAGAAGGTTAGAAGAGGAGCAGATGCAGGAAATTTCTGTTTGATAGCACAGCATGGTATAATACCCTGGTATGGCACTGTGGGCTAATGAGCTGGACTACAAAGTCAGTTTGAACCACAAGATTGGTGGTTTAAGCTCAGTAGCCATTCCTTGGAAATCCTATAAAGGATCGCTATGGGTTGGAAGTGATTCGACAGCACACAACAACAACAACAATTTTCTTCAAGAAGTAGCAGGCAAGCAGAAAGCAAAGGCAGAGAGTGTTTAGAAGTTGAAGCAAAAGTGTTGAAGTTGAAATTGTTATCGTAGAAGAATGAGATGATCAGAGGAGTTCAGTAAGAATGCCAGATACTGTTATGGACCAATTTCAGATTAGGCATTAAGGAATTTCTAGCAGAAGTAACCTATTTTGAGACACGACACACAATAAATAGATGAACAAAAAATATGCTTATATAATTATACACACAAGTATTACTTAAGGAATATGAACAAGGTTCTATGAAAGGAAATACATAGCATCAACTCAATTTATGAGATAGGTGGTTTTCAGATGCAGGAACTCAAGGTTAGAAAGGTTAAATAATTTGTTCAAGATTATGTAACTAAATGGCAGAGTCACGATCAGAACTCATAATTTTCTACTCCAAGGCCTGCCTTCAAACAATGCATGCATTTATATATATAACATTCTGTCTAATATATGACTTTAGTTTTAAAATCAAGTGACACCTACACAATCTTCACCAATAGCATTATCTAAGTAACAGGCTTTCTAATATTTACCTGTAAACTTATTCCAGTTTCTTCTTTACTTTTTTCACTCAAACTAGAAATAGTTGTACTCTGGCTTCCTTCTTCAAATGTAAGACTCCTAGTTGCCACAAGAATACTTCTTTTAATAAAAACATTCTATTTGAAGCTTGTGAACATAGATAAACACTACAGACTTTGAAGGAAATAACTAACGAAAGTCAGAAAATAAACTATTTATACTTTAAAAGCAGTATCCAAAAAATAAAATACAACAACACAGTATCATGTCTTAGACCTAGGATAGAAAAGAAATATATGTTAATTATTTGAATGAGAACTGAAGTCCTGGTGTGGTGCTCTAAGATAAGCACTGGACTGCAAGGTCGGTTTGAGCCACCAGGTCAGTGGTTCAAATCTAACAGAAGCTCCTTGGAAACCCTACACAGGGTCACTATGAGTCAGAACCAACTTGACGGCATTTTAACAAAAACATATGTGGGAAGGTTGTATGCCAAAACATGCTTATACAGAAAGTGACTGGCCTGTTAAAAATTACAACAGACTATAAAGATTTACAGTCTCGGAAACCCTGTAAAGGGTTGCTATGAGTCGGAACTGACTGCACAGCACATCACCACCACCATTCCTCCTTAACCCCAATCAATTCCTAAATATTCTGTTAGTAGTTTTATCTGAAATTCAGGTTCATGAGTAATCACAAACCACTTTAGACCACAGTAAGACAGCATTTAACAATCAATAGATTGAGAAAATTAAGTCTGCTAATACCAAGTATTAAGGAAGTGGGAGAGTAGGATCCACTTACTTCAAGATAATAAAATTAATAAGTGACACATGCTGAATGGGTATGGGAGAAGAGTGAAGAATACACATATATACTCATGTGGAATCCTGGTATGTGCTGTGTGACAACGTACTGGACCACAAGGTCGTTTTGAATTGCAAGGTCAGAGATTCAAATTCACCAGCTGCTCCTCGAAAACCCTACACTGGGTTGCTGTGACTCAGAACCAATTCGGGAGCACTTCACAACAACATATACTTAAATATCCCACCAATACATGAGTTTGAAAGAGCACATTGGTACATGAATATTAAATTACCTTTGGTGCAAACACAACTATGAATGCGGTGGAGCATACAGTGGGAAAAATGATGAAAACTTCTTAGACATTATCATACATCTTAAGGCAATGAGTAGCTGGGTTTGTAGGCTCAGGACCATAGTTTCAGAGGACACCATAGTTAATTGGCATAACATTGTCCCCTAAGACAATGCTCTACCTCCTACTTTGGTTGAGTAGTGTCTGAGATATTAAAAGCTCATGAGTGGCCATGTCAGGTGCAGTTACTGGTCTCTCCATGTGCAGAAGACAGAAGAGTGAGAAGAAGTGAAGATGCTTGGAATAAATTAGTCCAGCGAAATACAGAGAAAAACAAGTACGGTCTGTGTCCATCCGGAACTTGCTATCTATAACATTTACAAGCAATTGCCATTTTTGCTATTTCAGAGTACTATTATTATTTTAAATTTCACACTCAAAAAAAACTTATTAAAAATGTCTTTTAAATGGGACTGGGGAAAGCATATCTTTAATATGTATCTTTATGGAAACACTGTTAACATCAATTTAAAAAAAAAACAAAACTTCCAAATTCCATTACCTTTTCTCTTGATCACCCATGTTTTTCTGATCTGCATAGATTTCAGCATAGAGTAATGCTGTAAAGTGAGCAGCACATGACTGAGCTACCTTGGCAACTTCTAGATAATTCAAATCCAGCCAGAAAGCATCATCAAAAACTGTTCCTGAGAAAGGTCTAAAAAAATTAATTGAGCAAAATATTAATGTCTATTTCTTTAACATGGTTATTCAAAGAAAAGCACATTAAATACTAAACAGAATTCAAACAAGTGGAACCACATGTGATGCTCACTTTTCATTGATTTTTGTGTTTGTGACTTTACCTACTCACTAAAATGTATCTGTAACTGTAAAACCCATACTCAGGTTGTTTTCATGGATCTGCAGAGTAGTAAAAAATCTGAGTTGCCTAATGTGGTTATCTCTATCTGAGATAGAATAGGGTGACACTCTGCTTTGTTTCAGCTCTCATACTGTAAACAAGTTCCCTTTGTAAGATCTCCTTGTAAGTGCTGATGAGTCAGTACTGATTCATAGAGACCCTGTATAGGGTTTCCAAAGAGTAGCTCGTAGGTTTGAACCACCAACATCTTAAGTGCCATATTTTTCACACTTTTGTGCTTTTTTTGTTGGTGATTTTACGGTTTAAAGTAGACCCCAAGCATAATGCAAGGAACCCTGGTGGTGTAATAGTTAAGCGCTTAGTTGCCACAGAAAGGCTGGCAGTTTGAACTACCACCACCCACTCCACTACAGCAAAGATCTGGCAATCTGCTTTCTCAACGATTTCTACCTAGGGAATCCTATAGAGCATTTCTATTTTGCCCTACATGGTCTCTATGAGTCAGAATCAACTCAACAGCACACGACAACAATGACCAGGACAGTGCTGAAGCACTGGCCAGTGTATCTAAGTGCAATAAAGCTGTGATATGCCTAATGGAGAACATATCTGTGCTAGCTCTGTGTCCTGTGGCTTGAATTATAGTGTTGCTGGCCATGAGTTTACTGTCAATGAATCAGCAATATACATGAAATAAGAAATCATTAAACAGAAACACAAATAAAACAAAGCTGTGAACTGACTGGTTGATGTAAGTATTATGACAAGTGGCTCACAGAAAACTAGCCCTGCATTTCCCCTAGGAGCAATAGCTCAGTACTCACTAATTCAGAGTAGACAGTCATGCTAGAGAAGACACTAACACAAATATACAGACTTCACTGCATTTTAGGAAATATGGCTGGATAGTCCTATTTCTCAATCTTTTTGGATCACAAACCCCTCAGAAAATCTGGTGATGGCTATATCATTCCATACAAATTTGAGGTCCCCATCTGCCCTCCACCAAGGTATCTGTGGAGCATAGCCTAAGTTTGTTTATCTAAAAATAAATTTTATAGAATAAATATTATTTGCCTTGGATCACAGGCTAAGAACAGGTTTTGTGTTTTGTTTTGTTTTTCAAGAATAAGCTTTACAGATTAGCTAACAATAAACACACACAATCTTTCAAAATAGTCAATACAATGAAAATATTTTAGTTCTTCTAAGACACATTAACATATCTTTCCTACTGCTGCTCATTTTCTCCTTAGCTTAATGGCTAGGCTGAGTTATTTAATGAAAATCTTCTAATATGGTATACAGATGGAGTATATAGATATTGCGTAGGTACAGTGTCTATACACAACTGTATATACAAGTGCAGTGTATGCAGAAATGTATGTACATAGAAGAGGAAGGGATCATAGATAGTAGAGGGGTGAAGAACACTGGCTCTGAAGTAGGACACAGTTAGGTTCGTACCTAGCTGCATGATTGTGCTTAACTTTTCTAAGCCTCCATTTCCTCACCTTCTAACAAACAGGAATAACATGTATTTCAAAGAGTAGCCGCAATGACTAAATAATGTTTGTATAGCTGATGAAGTGCCTACCACACAGCAAACACTTAGTTGTTGCTATTATTTCTGAAAATCCTAAAGTTCAGAGAATTCAAATACCTTGCTGAGGTACAGGAATGTCAGGCATGTTTTATAGCCTGATTCTTTTTTATCACCCTGGCCACCCTTTACTGTACTGTAGACATTATCCTAATTTGAAAGACAATGAGAATAAAATTCAAAGACAGTAACTTGTCCAGCTCACAAACCTTCTATGTATCACACTTGGACCTAAACACAGTTCCTTATCCTTTCTTCTACGTCCCATTCATATTTTCTCAAGAAATCTTCTTTAAGATCTTTTTTAACATTAAAATGAAGAGTAATTATCTAAATCAGTTTAGTCCCTAAGTTCAAATATCAGAATATTTACAAAGTAAAACCACTTAAACTTATGCTTCTAATGTACTGCACTGGAGTCCTGGTGTGGCACTGCAGGCTAATGTGCTAGACTACAAATTCAGCTTGAACTGCAAGGTGTGCAGTTCAGGCTCTCCAGCCGCTCCTTGGAAACCCTCTACATGGTTGCTATGTGTTGAAACTGACTCAATGGCACTTAAAACCAACAATGCAATGCACTGGAATTAACTGGTATGAGTGAAGAAAAGGATTTATTAAATAAATTAACAGGGCAAGCAAAATAAAGAAGAAAATTAGAATTTATTTTAGATTTCTAGAGTTCCTTGAAGCATCGGAAACATTGATGAAATACAAACAGTGGATACAAAGTATAGTTTTAATTGGGCCCTATTGGTGGTGGTGGAGTCCTGGTGTGGTGCTGTGGGTTAATGCGCCAGACTGCAAAGCCATTTGAACTGCAAGGTCAGCAGTTCAAGCTCACCAGCGGCTCCTCGGAAACCCTATACAGGGTCACTATGGGTCGGAACCAACTTGACGGCACTTAACAACAATTGGTGGTGGTGGTAATGTGCTGTGAAGTTGGTTCCAACTCATAGTGACTCTGCATAGGGTTTTCAAGGTTGTAAATCTTTACAGAAGCAGAAAGTCTCATCTTTCTCCTGCAGAATGCCTGGTAGTTTCTAACTGCTGACCTTGAGGTTAGCAGCCCAAATGGTAAACAGTATGCTACCAGAGTTCCTTTGGGATCTAGTAGGACTTTTAAAAATGTAATTTATTTGATTGATCTATAACTATGTGTTGCGAAAATTTCAAATACAGAACTATATGGGATAAAAAGTTATGAACTCCCTTCTCATTGTCCTCCCAAAGGTTCTACTAGCACTTAATACATATTCTTTCATGCTTTTTTCTCTGGACTTACTTACCTAAGTGTGAATATGTAAAGGGCTTGTTTATTTTGTACATAAATGAGATTATACTAACACAGACCCTAGTTTTAAGGATAGGTTAAATATGTGAATGATTATTCCAAAACATTGAATAAAATAAAAGCTAAAAAATAATAATGAAGAGTAATAATTTGTATCTTCTCACATTGTGATAATGCCAACACTCCTCAAGCCCATGGTAAATTTGAAATGAATGACTTAGTTATTGTTAAGTGCCATCAAGTAGGTTTCCAAGGCGTGACTGGTGGATTTGAATCACTGACCTTGTGGTTAGCAGTCCAGTGCTTAACCTACAGTGCCACACCAGGACTCAGCAGTCACCATTAAAAGAGATTCTCCCAGCTACAGTAAAGCTTCTTATGGGCTTTCTCAGCAGAGGATCTTGTACAACATAATAAGGTAAAGCCATAACTTTCTAACCAGAAACAAAGACAATGAGAGTCATGCGGAGGATACAGAGGAAATAACTGTTTAAGATGTGAATGCATTTAAGTAAAAATGCATTTTCATTTTTATCCCATTTTTTCCATTCTTTACCAAATTGCCACCAGAGATGTTGCAAAATTTGGCAAAGATAACCGTGCTACTGGTACAGCTAAGACTAAGTGTTACAGTTTTGATGCTGATTTGTCCACACTGCTACCCTGAATTAACAGTTCTGGTGTGGCACTGCAGGATAGTGTGCTGGACCTCAAGGTCGGCAGTTCAAACTCACCAGCTGCTCCTCGGAATCCATTCACGGGGTTGCTATGAGTTGGAACAGATTCAACGGCACTTAACAACAACACTGAACTGAGATTATTAAAAGGAGATATAACCATCACACAAATTAAAAGTAGCACTTTTCAGCAGTTTGACCAGCAATAATATGCTGTACTTACTTCTAAACCCCCACATTCAAGAAGCAACACTCATTCCATTACCTCTTTTGTCTTCTCATGTAGTCCACAACAGAAAGCATTGTTCTTTGTGATTTTTTATCCTGACAGCCTCGGAAAAAGTTTTCTGACTCTGACAAATAAACAAAGATATATCTCCTGTCAGCCCTTAGAAGACTTACTTAAGTCTGTCTTTCTTCTCCTTATACGGTTGTCTCTTTATACATTAAAGGTTTTGGTAGGCAGTATCTAAGGAGCTCTGGGAGTGCAGTGGTTACAACTCGGGCTGTTTAGCTCAAGGTTGGTAGTTCTGAGGGAGAAAGATGAGGCTTTCTGCTCCCGCAAAGATTACAGACTCGAAAACCCTGTGCAGAGTCACTATGAGTCGGAAGCAACTGCACGGTACTTAACAACAACATCTAGCACAAAATTGTTCTTAATAACATGAATTGATAAATGCACTAAATGGGAATATATTTTCTTTCTGAAGAAAATATTTTGCTTACTAAAACAGATTCTACATTGTAATTCATACTTCTGAAGAGACTCACTTACTGATTCTATTTAGGATCTTTTATGCGCTAGATGACTCAGTAGTATATAATCACGAAAAAAATAGATTATTTCTAACCACACAGAACTCACTGATTAGAGTTCAAGAAACTCTTAACACAAAGCAAGACAAGTGCTATGATAGGGAACATTTAGAATGACATCATGAAGGTAGGAAGGAACCTATCCTGAACATGAAATGTTCCACAGGGGGGAGAAAACATATTTGTGGGCAGTAGTAATAGTATCTAAGATAACTGGAAGCAAGAAATGCCTTGGAAAATTAACTGAAAGAATTTCAACTGTGCTGAATCACAGTCCTAGAGAGTAGTAAGGATGTTTGGGGACAGAGAGAAGAAAAGGAGACAAAAGTTATATGGGACAGAAATGGTAGGATTTGATACTGTAAGAGAGGAAAAATCAAGGATAATGTCCAGGTTTCTGGCTTGGGCAACTGAGGTCATTCATAGAAGAGGTACATATTTGAGAGCGGCAGGTTGGGATAGTGCATAAAAATGACAAGACTTTATTTTGCCAGGTTTATTTTAGGACAACTGAGTTTGAGATGTACATGGGACATTCAGCAGAAGGGAGTGAGATTTACAAACATCAGAAAAGATACACTACTTTATTTAGTAAAATGTCCATATTTACTTTCCTATTCAATAAGAATTTTACACATGAAGTTAAAATTTCATTTAAGGTAAAAAAATACTGGCCCTCTACAAAGAGAGTTAATAAAACTGTACAATTTTAACTTCTGATGGTTGTGTATAAATACATATGTACAAATAATAAATATGAAAAAATCTTGACTATATTCATGATGATAAAAATTGTAAAGTTACTATTGTTATTGTTAAGTGTTGTTCAATCCGTTAGACTCATAGCGACTCTAAATAGAGCTTAAACCACTGACCTTGTGTTTAGCAGTCTGGTGCTTATTCTACAGCACCACACCAGGACTCCAAGGTTCCAATTTGTTGTTGACAAGTGCCGTCTAGTTGGTTTTGACTCATAGTGACCCTGTATAGTGTTTCTAAGGAACGGCTGGTAGGCTTGAACCACTGACCTTGTGTTTAACAGTCCAGTGTTTATCCCACAACAACACACTAGAACTTCAAGGTTACTATTTGTTATTATTAAGTGCTGTTGAGTCAGATTGAACTCACAGCAACCCTATATAGGGTTTCCAAGGAGCAGCTGGTGAGTTTTAGCTTCTGATCTTGTAGTTCCAGCTGTTCTTGCAGCCCAGAACTTATCCTACAGTACCACACCAACACTCCTAAGGTTACTATGTTATTGTTGTTGTTAAGTGCCATCAAGTTGGTTCTGATTCACAGGGACCCTGTATAGGGTTTCCAAAGGAACGGCTGGTGAACTTTAACCATTGATCTTGCAGTTCAAACTAACCTTGCAGTACAGTGCAGTAGCCTACAACAACATAACCAGGTTACTATGTTGTTGTTGGTATGTGCCGTGGAGTCGGTTTCGACTCATAGCAACCCTGTACAGGGTTTCTGAGGCTGTAAATCTTTGTAAGAGCAGAAAGCCTCATCTTTCTCCGGCGAACAGCTGGTAGTTTCAAACTGCTGACCTTGTGGTTCGCAGCCTGATTTGTAACCACTACGCTAACAGAGCTCCTTACCAAGTTACTATATGAGTGATAATATTAAATGTGGTATAAATAAAAATGTTCTTACAGTACTTTAAATTAGTATTTAGGAAATTAGTTAAATCTGTATTTCTTAAACTGAGACTAGTAGATATAGTGTAGGTAGTTTGCCAAGTTTCTATCAGAAATTTTATGTTTGAGTTTTTACTTCAATGCTTAAAGGAAATTTATATAAGCATATCCTAGTGTGTCGCTGTGGGTTAATGCGCCAGACTACAAAGCTGATTGAACTACAAGGTCGACGGTTCAAGCTCACCAGTTGTTCTTTGGAAACCCTACACAGGGTCACTATGCGTCAGAACCAACTCAATGTCACTTAATAACAACATCCTGATGAACTTAGGATCACAGAATGCGTATGTTTGCAGTTATACTAGTTTCAAATAGTATCTTTATCATTTTTGTTAACCAAACAGAAAAGGACATACATAAGAGATAAAACAGAACCAAGTAATACATCAGTGTCACCAAATGAAGGCTCTAGTAGTTTGAGTAGAAGAAATCAGAGAAAGGAGAAATCAAAACTTACGTTGAAGTGACCGGAACTAAAGTCAGGTTGGAAGGAACAATTTAGTTCCAGCAAAATGTTTTATACCGTTAAATCAATATTTTTATTACAATTATACTAATCTGGAAGTACAAGAAGTAAATATGTACTTTAGCGTAGTGGTTACAAGTCAGGCTGTCAACCTCAAGGTCAGCAGTTTGAAACTACCAGCTGTTCCGCAGGAAAAGATGAGGTGTTCTGCTCCCGTAAAGATTTACAGCCTCGGAAACCCTGTGCAGGGTCACTATGAGTTGGAACGGACTCCACGGTACTTAACAACAACATAAAATACATTCATAATATAGATTAAAAACAGAATGAGTGGAGATCTATGAAATTTTTTCCTATTTTTAACTTGGTTTGAAAATGGACCCATACGGACCCCTCAATACGCATCTATGGGGCTGTGGGTTAATGCACTAGACTGGCTTTAACCACAAGGTCGGAGGTTCAAGCACACACTAGCCACTCCTCAAAAACCCTATACAGGGCTGTTAAGGGTCAGAATCGACTTAACGGCAATTAACAACAAATACTAGTATATGTGGAAGAAGCTCTGGTAGCACAGTAGTTATGAGTTGGGCTGCTAGCCTCAAGGTTAGCAGTTCAAAACCACCACCCGTTCCACAGGAGAAAGATAAGGCTTTCTACTCTCGTAAAGATTCACAACTTCGGAAACCTATACAGGGTTGTTGTGAGTGGAAAACCAACTCCACGGCACACAGCCACCACCACCATAGTGCATGTGGAGTCCTGGTGTGACACTGGAGGATAATGTACTGGACCACAAGGTCAGTTTGAATCGCAAGACTGACAGTTCAAACCTACCAGTCACTCACTGGAAACCCTATACAGGGTCAATATGAGTCAGAACCAACTTGACAGCACTTAACAGTAATAACAGTATATGCAGGTCCTGGTGTGGCGCTGTAGGATAAACACTGGAATGTTAACCATAGGTTGGCAGTTGAAACCTATCAGCCACTCTTCAGAAACCTTATGCAAGGTCACTATGAGTCAGAACCAGCTCAATGACACTAAACAACAACAACAAATAGTATTATGTCCCCAATTCCTAGTAAAATTTCTCCCGTCATGTGGAATACTTGATATATTTCCAACTTATATAGCATGGAAAGAAAGGAAATGATAACGTTAAGTAAACGGTAACCAAATCTTCATGTTATATAAAGCTGGCAAGATATATACTAAATGTTAACCAGTTATCCTAGGTCCTAGAATTATGGGTAATTTAATTTTTAAAAAACTTTATATCAACTTTTTCCTTATTTTCAAAAGTAAACATGAATAACTTTATAATAAAAAGTTGATTTTAGAAACAAGTTGATTAGATCTCCAAAAATATTCTTATTTCCCATCACATACCACCTGCAATATCTGACTGCATTTATTTATGTGTGTGCATTTGTCATTGCTAATACAAAGGCTCCTGGCTTACAAAGACTACATCTTGTTCACATCCATGTCACCTATGTCTGACACAACACTGAATTCTCAGTTAGTTGCCTCATTATTAGTAGTCACAATTTACTGAGTCAACAGTATACCAGGCATCATCCCAGGTGATTTACATGCATCATTTTTGTTATCTCTATTCTAGAGATGGGCAGTGTGGTAGCTCTATAAGATAAGTGCTGGACTGCAAACCAAAAGGTCAGTGGTTCCAGCCCACAAGTTGTTCAGCACTTAACAAAAATTCTACAGATGAGGAAACAGGAAACAAGGTTATGGAATTATGCTTGCATAGTGTCTATAACGGAGTTCAAACTGAAATCTATCTTTCTCTAGACCTAAAAAGTTAACAGAATATTAGAACTGTAACAAACTACGAAAATACCTGAATCCAAATTTGCAGGGGTTGTGGATCGGCTGGTTTGTGAGGAATGTCTGAAGGAGTTGGTGAAAAATCCCTGAATATGTGCAGAAAGCAGATTTCTCCAAGTTTCATTTGAATCTTGCAGCAAAATATCATGAATCAAGTATGGAAGCACAGTCTGACAAAAGTCAGTTTTCACCTAAAATATACAAACACATTCAGACATTAATTTGAGTAAAATGAAATATATATATTTTTAATTTCCAGTCCCTGGTATTGACACATTAATTTTGTTATTTTTAATGGCAAATTAATCTATACCATGAAATCAATGTACAAAAAACATGCTAAAAACAAAATAAAATGTGTGCTAAGTACAATAACGTAACTACTACAAACACAATTTTTTAGGTGAAAAGTATTACTAATAATAAAAAAAAGCTTTTAGATTTTTTTCATAAGTTAGAAAGATGAACTTTTGATTTCTGAGTATTTTCTACATTGAGAAGTATTTTTTTCATTCAACTGCTTATTATTTTCTTAGAGATCAATTTCTGGGTATGAAATTTGGACAACTTTAGTTAAAATAATGTCACTACTATAAACAATTTTTAGTTGAAAACTATTATTATAATCAGTTTTTTAAATTTGTTATAAAGTTTAAGAGATAAGATGAACTTACGTTTTTTGTACATTTTCTACATTCATTGAGAAGTGTTTTTTTCCCCCAAAATCTAAATGTTAATTTTTTTCTTAAAAAAATCAATTTCTGGGTGTAATATCTGGATAACTATCTGTGATGCACCACAAAGTATAAAAAGGGTATTAATATGTATACTACATTAGAACAGTAATTAACCGAATTTTTTGCCGAGACACCATCTTTGTAACTTCATCATCTACCATGCACATGAGACAGATTGTAGATCATCAATTGCATACTTTTTCCTTTTCAAACTTGTTGTTGTTGTTGTTAGGTGCCATCGAGTTGGTACCAACTGATAGCAACCTTATGCACAGCAGAACAATTATGCACAGCAGAACAAAATACTGCCTGATTCTGGGCCAGCTTCTCTATTGTTGC